CTGCTGTTTCGGGGAATTCACCCCTCATCAGTTGAGCTCGAGTAGGCTGAGGAAATTTATGCTCCGAAAGTACACCAGTGTGTAGGACTCTCCATAATGCTACACAGTGCTATGCTTTCGGAGCACATAATTCCCCAAGCATCATCAGCGCCGACTCAGTTGCTGCAAGTACAACCTCTCCTTCAAAATAATACATGTGGGTGAGGGAAGTGAAATGTTCCCTGTTCCTGTGATGTTGTGATGTGATGAGTGGAGCTGGAGAACACTTGTGTTGCAGCTTTATTACACACGTGGTAAGATGATCGTAAGAAAACTCGAACAGTACAATGAACATCCACTCGGACCAATTTTATTCTGTTTCAGCCTGTTTTAGCGAATCACTTTTAAAAAGATAAAGACAACAACAACAACAACAACAACAGCAGATCAGAAGTGAGGCAGCTTCGGTGCATCGGCGGGCGAGTGCCTCCGTTTCGATACATTCATGTACACGTCAATTAGAGAGCAGTGCAACTCCCAGTCATAGCAACCGGACGGTAAGTGGAATGATCTTTCGTCATCGACTACTAGTATCACAAAAGTTCAAAACATCTAATAGTACTTCAAAAGACGTTTTAGTGCGCAAAGATCGACTGTGTATTGTAGATTAACAAGACTCACATGTACATGTACAATGTAGCTCTGTATATACTAGGATGGCCACACCGAGTAAGTAGTTATTCGTCAGCTTCTCACATACGGTAAAACCTACAACTAAAGACCATGATAGTTCACTGTTATCGCAGGTAAAGACGGACGGACAGTGTTTGTCATTACATGTACTAGCAACAGTATTCTAAGCTCCCAAGCCCAAGGAGCCTATTTCGCTTATTGTGGAGCCACTCAGGCGAAATCTAATTTGCTCTATTGAGTATTGTGTTATACAGTACGTATACATGTACAGTGCTTGGGAAGATTCGACCTGTGCCAGTGTGTGGGCTTGGGTATGTGGCGACCGACAAGGCTCGTACTATACTCGTATCGATCATATACAATGTCATGTACATCACGAAACATGGCAGTCTATTGTGCGGGTTACAGTGTTGTCGGGCGGCGAAGAAATCTTTGCCTAGGTCAGGATGCGCTGAAGAACGTTTTGCCGCAGAACGAGCAGGCTAGTATCAGTTGCATGTGCATTTTCATCAACATGGTGGATCGAGAGAGAGAGAGAGAGAGAGAGAGAGAGAGAGAGAGAGAGAGAGAGAGAGAGAGAGAGAGAGAGAGAGAGAGAGAGAGAGAGAGAGAGAGAGAGAGAAGAGAGAGAAGAGAGAGAAGAGAGAGAAGAGAGAAGAGAGAAGAGAGAAGAGAGAAAGAGAAGAGAGAAAGAGAGAGAGAGAGAGAAATCATGCAAAACCGAACCTCGGAACGCCTCAGTCAAACAGCACTATACTTCGACTATGACAATTTAGATGGACAATAAGCAGCAGTAACGAGCAGTAGTTTCACACGACGATCGTTTCGCTGTATATAAGGACAGCTCGTCAATTATTTGAACCACACAAGTGGACGAAGTGGTGTGGAAATGTTGCTTATCGCCCTTGAATCGTGGTTTGACCGTATTGTCCATGGTCTTGCCAGTATCGTCATCGGCAGGCATGTACATCCGCCAACGTACTTCACGGCTGAGACTATCAGTTCGTGCTTGTCTTGGTTGCGCTCACCTTTCCCTCCTATGTTATCATAATAACTAACTTAGAACCTTCCAAGTTGGAAGGCTGTTGGAGTGCGCATGCAAGGCCTGCTAGAGCTGATAGCCAGTTTAATAGTTGCAGAACGTCAGTACTTAGTCGTGTTAGTCGACATTATAGCGTAAACTTGTAACCTTGGTCCTTTTTCTTTTCTATAAAAATTAATATCTTTTCATTGAAGAACAAAAAGGGCCAATGAACTACAAGTTACGCTATAATGTCCACTAACACCATCAGTTACTAAACAATCAGCTCATGCGATAACATTGCACGTGTCATGACCGGGGAGTGGGCCAGACATACTATCAGGATTCTACGATTCCAGGTTCTTTACGGAAATATACCAGGAGTCCAGATACCCATTCCTCACCCTCACCACACAAGAAGACCAAAACTTCACTCCAGGACCAAGTAACTTCCAAGCAACAGAGAAGCAACAAGAACAACAACAACAACCCATCGACGCAAAGCATCGACCTATATACTGCTATAATTATAGTAGCGTGCAAGCTGAAGGAGCGAAGCGAGCGAGCAGCAAGCCGGCAAAGCATGAATAGTGATAGGTTTCCCAACGCTATTCATAGACGAGACACATCGACGCCACGGCAAACACTTGACAAAGATACATGTAGGAGCAGACGGAATACAATACAGATAGAAACACACGGACACGACATATCCCCCGCCTACGAACATGTTACGTCCTCGTAACAGAAGAAAAGTAACGGCACTGAAAAAGAAAGCAAAATAATAAAACTCTTGAAAACTTGAAAAGAAGGAACCAACCTCTTCCGACCCAAGAACCAAAGAAAACATAATGCGCCAGTCTTGCACAGACTCTCAGCCACAGCAGTGTTAGGAAAATAGGTTATGCCGTTACAACTACGTTCGAACAAGCTATTGGTCAGCCTGCAGGGATTGCTTCTGTGTTACTATCATTATGAACTATTATAATAAGACAAATCAAGACTAGACGGGTGACAAGACCAGAAACGTGTCCAGGAACTGGTAACTGACCCGAACTAACTTCACTTGAAATCCGCGGCTCCCGTTTGCGTGTTGCCTTCATCTTGACTTCCTCGATGTACCTCCTCTCCAGCTCTGGCTACGTCCAGCAGTTTATCGTCATGCTCCGGGACGGGCGCGTTGGCGATGGTGACCAATCGCGGTCGCCAGGGTGCAGTTTATCGTCGTACCCAGGACGGACGCGTTGGTGATGGTGGCGATGGCTATTGGCAGCGCTCCCTCTCGCTGCCGAGGGTTCGGAATGTTAGTGGCACTGGACATCCTGGCGTGGTCGCCAAATGTCATGACCGGGGAGTGGGCCAGACATACTATCAGGATTCTACGATTCCAGGTTCTTTACGGAAATATACCAGGAGTCCAGATACCCATTCCTCACCCTCACCACACAAGAAGACCAAAACTTCACTCCAGGACCAAGTAACTTCCAAGCAACAGAGAAGCAACAATAACAACAACAACAACCCATCGACGCAAAGCATCGACCTATATACTGCTATAATTATAGTAGCGTGCAAGCTGAAGGAGCGAAGCGAGCGAGCAGCAAGCCGGCAAAGCATGAATAGTGATAGGTTTCCCAACGCTATTCATAGACGAGACACATCGACGCCACGGCAAACACTTGACAAAGATACATGTAGGAGCAGACGGAATACAATACAGATAGAAACACACGGACACGACACACGACACTGACCGTATAACTTGTAGTTCCTCGGTCCTTTTGTTCTTCTATAATTATTATTAATCCTGGCTCTTTATCGGAGTCTAGAGTCTATCTTTCATTATTGTTATTTTTTAGGGTTACTTTAAGGTTACTTAACTAGTACATGTACACCGAAAATGACGTGTTAATTTTCTTATTTTTCATGTTATCCAGTACTCGGGGTTTTCGTGTCTGAAAACACACATAAAACGGCAGTAGTATCATATCACGTGCCTTTACATGACATGTTTGCGATACTTATACTCTCAGCTCATGTTGCACCCCCAGGTTACGGGTGTTGGCGCGTTGCTGTGTCCGACTGCCAGGAAAAACCGGGAATACCCGTCCCATTACATAGTCATTTCCAGCAGCGGCAATCCTGCTTGATTCCTGTTTTCTTGAAAGGTTCCTGACTTCCTGTCCTTGGATGAGGCATGCGCAGTGCAGTGTGCTGCTGTAGTGCTGGACCATGGAGCTTATTGCAGATTGCTGCAAGCTGCTTGTTCTCCTGAAGACTGTGTTCCGCGTACTGGTAAAGGCGTACGAAAATACATCATATTCCGCTAGTATTACTAGCTTACTGCTTAGGCCTAAGCTGTTGGCTGCAGGCCAGGTTTACAAAAAAAGGAATTATCCAGAGGCTATTTTTTAGTCTAGCGAGGACTCGAGGTGATCTTGGGGGAAAGTAGAATGACTCTATCTGAGCCATGTATGTGCTGTATATTATTGATTTTTGATTGCTGTGAGCGAGGTTGAGTGGACTAGACAGGATGCGACTGACATAAACACAGTCATAAAACAGTTCTGAAAGCCCCGTCACCTTCTGTGCCAACTATCTGCCTGGCTAAGCCTGTTTTCACTCTAGTTTTAGGCAGCTAGTATGCAGCACTTTCTTGTAAACAATTGCATCGTGACGCGCCGCAGCATTGCTGCGGCGTCACGATGCAATTGTTTACAAGAAAGTGCAGCAAAGCACGTCAACAACAACAATGACAAGATCGCCATACTCCATAGTTCTCGCAGTCGAAAAGCGTAGCGAAGGAGCGGCGTGGAAGACCTCCCTTTCAGGCTTTCAGGCTTCGTAGGGCAAGAACAGAGCAGCTTAGTCAGTATGGGTGGTCCTCGACTGGACAGACACCACAATCACTACAGGTACATGTATAACAGTAGTCTATCTTTCTCAGACAGCGGTCGCAGTCATGTCCATACATATGTACAATAATGTAGTTTCAGCTGCTTGCTCTGCAACAACTGACCAGTCAAGTATCTCAAACAGTGCTCAGTCAAAGACAAACTGCTTTCACTTGCATGTTACATAGTCACATGTTACATTGTCGCACTTGCCTGGTCGCGCGTTACGCCGCACCCCCCTGCGTTACGCGGCAACATAATTATTATTGCTAGTACGGTACTCACTAGATCTACCACAGTACCAGGCTACATAATTATGCGTACTCGACCTCCGATCTCATCCGACGATCGATCGCGTGAGTCAAGAAGACTACTAATACTTGTAACGTTACGTTGACTTGTCTTTGGTCACTGCACCCACCCACGGCCACGCCGTACACAGACATGATTTTCTCTGCCAGAAAATATACCAGGCTAGGCTGTAGATCTACTGACCCTGTCTGCATGGTCTGTGTGCAAGTAAGTTCTGCTCGCGCTCCCACTGGCACTGCTCATTACTGGACAAACTGGTTGGTCCACCGTCTAGTACTGGATTTTGCACGCACGTCCTCCACGGCATGTAGTCTATTGTAGATCGACGAACTGTACCGCCGCCACGCGGTAGGCCGTTGGCTTGATCGACTGGCGGCATGGCGGGCAGACCGCGCGCCATTCTCTTCTTCTTCTTTTGCTTGTACCCGCATACCCCACTATCCCCAGCTGTACTGACCCACGGTCAGCCAGTTCAACTCAGTGCCAGTTGTGTCCTCGGAACGACGACTGCTAAGTCTTGTTGGACGTGAACCAATCAGTCCAATGTTATGAAAGTCCCAGTTTTACTTAGTTGTACCAGTTTGACGTCTCAACACTGGATGAAATCACTGCTCTAATTGGATACTTCGGCTGCCGCGGCCGTTCAGTGACTTGGTTCGACGCGCTGACGTCGGTCAAGCCTCTAGTTGAGGCTTTGTCCACAGTACCTTCAACTAAGAAATTCTCATGAAGCATGTGAGCAACAAGTACAGCGTAGATGTTTTACCTAAGACTAAGTTAGGGTAGATCGTTCACTAGGCACTAGTTGCATTTCGGCGGGCTCAGTTACCGGCATTGTGGTTGTGTAGACGATGGTGACCGGAGTCTTCCTCCATTGTACATGTACATGTACATGTTTGGCTTGGTTCTTGGTAATCCTGCAATTGCCAAGGATACATACAGCCTTGGCTCATGGATTCTTTTGGTTTCAGATGTTAAGACTTCTTGCTAATTCCGAGCCGCGTGACGACAACCGTCTGTATACATGTCGTTTGCTTTTTTCTCTCTCTGTTTTCGTATCTTGCGTGCCTGCTCAGAAACGGACGATTATCGTTCGCTATTCAAACAAAATATCTATCACGGCATTGTCCCGCTTTGATACAAATACTGTGGAGAGCGAGTTGGAATATACTATTATAACGGGATGGAACGAGAGGTGGAAGCACCGCAGAAAAAAAGTGCAGTACGATCTGAGAAGGATGCTGATCATAGAAGAAATCCCGGAGTCCCTCTTGGCCAGCCAGGACGAGTGGTTGGCCTTCCTGCTGTTATTGATGGCCTAACAACAAAGCACGTCGAGCATTACGTTTGCCCTGCCTGCCAGCTTCTTCTTCGCGACCCCGTGCAAGCCAGCTGCGGGCATCGCTTTTGCAAACGGTGCTGTCACTACCTTATAGAACAGTAAGTAGACTGGTGTGATGTTTTCGCGTGCGCTTAAATAATTCGTTTGTGCAGAACTCGCGCAGGTACCTTTAGCTTTCGTGCACAAACGTACTGCGGTGTGTGTAGTTAGGAACGCGATCTTCTTTTCTTTGTCTGCTCTGCTTTTGCCTCATGGTCTTCACGTGATGCGGCAGCATTGTCCGCATGACAAGCAGGAAAAATAATATTATCATTGTGATGTCGTTCTGGTTAGCACGAGGTGCACGGTCATGGGTAGAGCACGCCTACAACTTTACAAGTAAAAGTAACTGACTCGACTCCTCAACTCCCTAGCGAGTCTCGAGTCAGACTCAAAGTCAGCGGAGCGGTCTTATTCCATTGCACTTGACAACATGCGGCATGCCTTTGCCTTGGTGGGAATCACGTCTCGCTCTTTGTTCGCAGACAGGCAAAGCTTCCAGTCAAGGCTGTGCACTAGACTGTCAAGTCAGTTAGTGAGTTCACTGAGGAACAAAACCAAACGGAGGTTTAGCAAGTACCAAGCACTGGAGCAGGTCCCCCGACATCTGGCTGCAACGGGTGCATGCCAGAAGCATGCACATCTAGCTCCAGATTGGGATGTATGTCGGTATGACCTGTTTTAGAAGCGTTTTGGTTATGCTCAAGTATAATTAGTACTATTACTGTCTGTAGTCTAGTGTAGAGTGTAGTGCTCCAGCAGTCTGGGCTCTCCCTGTTTTTAGCCTGCTGTTTTAGGTACACGTTAGGGGAATCCCCAGGAATGGTCTTATTGACGTGATGAAGCTGAAGACAGTGAAGTGCACTAACTGTGACCAAGTTAGTGCCTAACAGTTAGTCTGAAGTAGTCATGAGATTGGCATCTTTGCCAAGAACTCAGGTGACTCTCCCCTCCATTGGCTCCAATCACTGAATCAGCTCCACAATACTGACACCCAAGACGTCAGGAGAGGCTGGTGTGGCTTTCAAGGCTTGCTTGACTGTATGTTGTCCTTGCTTCACGATCACGTCCTGCAAACAACCCTCTAAATGCATGTTGGCCATGCAGTCATGTTACAAGACAGTTCTTGGGAACTGGGATGTTCCTTGCCTCCCAGGGTGCATTGAGATGGGCTTGGGCAACTGATCGCTTTACGCCTCTGTCTTTTGTTCTCATTCTCCTAAATTATTTGTTGGCAGCCTCTCCCTGTGTTACCTTTTCCTTTCTGTCGCCTTACCCAATGTCAGCTAACATGTTCTCTCTTAGATTGAAAGATGGTATGAAACAAGACAGCATTGCCCTCTTGACTTTGCCATTGCCACACAGCCCAATCAGGCACTCTTGCCGTAATAACCTGGCACCATTGTCATAGTCTAGCTACTTGTCAGCAGGGCACCCTGGGTTCTCCGGATAAACAAAGACTTGTGCATTTGGCATGATAAGTTGATTCCCCATGGGGCATTATGTCCTCTGAATTAGTGAAGAAAACCCGAAAAAGATATCCATTGACTCCGTGACATTTCCTTATCTGGAAGATTATCTATTGCTGTCAAATATTCTGGCTATCTCCATTCATAGAATAAATGAGGGAATATCCCTGCGAGATTTGTGGTTGGTGTTATCAGGTAACATGCACAACCAGTTGGGGCTAGATGAAATGTGGCAGCATGTTATGAAAAGCCAGTTGGCTGCATGGCTTTGTATGTATGTGTGTAGGTGTGTGTGTGTGTGTGCACACGCGCATGTGTGTGTGTGTGTGTGTGTGTGTGTGTGTGTGTGTGTGTGTGTGTGTGGTGTGTGTGTGTGTGTGTGTGTGTGTATGCGTGTCCCATATGGTGCAGTGGTATGTGCAGCGGTTTCCCATCGAGAGGTTGCGGGTTCGATTCCCGACGATTATGGTCACCCACATCTTTCTTCTCTTTCTCAGACTCCTCCTGAATTTTCTTTCATTCTCCTGGGTGGTTTCAAACAGCCATTGCATGTGTGTTTGTGTGTGTACATGTTTACGAGTATGCGTGCATGGATGTGTGTGTACGTCGGCGTGTGAATGTATGTGTGTGTGTATGTATGCACATGTATGTGTGTGTGTGTGTGTGTGCGTGTGTGTGTGTGTGTGTGTGTGTTTGAATGTGCGCCAATATAACAGCCATGTGTGGAGGGTAATTGGGATGTGGTGTTGTTGGGATGGCAAACTTATGCAAGGTCTGCTGAGTGGAAGTCAAGATTAACAGTTAACTTCTGGTTACCGACAGCCCTATTTCTGTGGCAAAGATTTTTTCTTCTTCTTTGTCCTACTTGCATCACAGAGGGGATGGGAACTCGGGCAAATGCCCAATAGATGGGAATATCATTACAAAGGATAAGGTATGTATCTGTGCTTTTCCATCCTTGCGTCTCTGCTGATCATTCTCCATGCTGTGCCTTCCGGTCAATGGCAATCTGCGTTGGGCAATATGTGCTGAGCGCAAGCATGCACGTTTTCTTCATTAATACAGTGCAGTAAAGGACCAAGCATGTCTCACTTGGCACCCATTTGGCAACTGTGGCATCTATTACAGATGTGACAAATTTCCAGGGGGGATCATGGATGTGCCTGGACAAGGTTGCAGGGTAATATTTGGCAGGTCAATTATCCAGCTGATGTTCAAAGGCTGTCTTCAGGTAGTGCGAATTTCATTACGTAAGTGCTCTGGGAAAGTGTATCTCCTTAGGGAAAGTGCCAATACAACCTCTTTCACTGGAAAATTCCAGAGTAGTTTGCACAATGCCACTTCTCGCCTATCTCTTTGCCCCACAGATTTGGTGATCTGCACTAGAGTAGGGCTTGAACATGTTGCAACAAGAAAGTCTGGGAGGCTGACAATTTTTCCTGGAATGCAGTGCTGGGCGGATCTAATTTCATTATTCATTTTATAACCTTGCATACAAATGTGTAACCCTATGAATGAGTTGCTACATGTCTACCTTAGGTTGTGCAGCCCCAAGATGAATTAGAAGTAAGGCCACGTACTAGAAGGCGTGAACAAATAGCGGAAAAACGTATGTTCGCCGACCACTGAATTAACAGAGAAATCTGTCTCATGAGACCTATTGTTTCTGGACGCACCCCAGGACTATGCTTCTGCCCACACTTGAACCTGCGTTGAAAGACCACCTGTCTAAAAATATCCGGGGTATTCTGTGGACTATGGGGTGATCACTAAACACAGGTTGAACTGTGTGACGTATGGAGAGTAGCCAAACAGTAGTTATGAAAATGATTACTAGTACATGGTAAACACATCGACGTAAGCCCTTGGGATTCCGCTGTGACGACGTTGTGTCGTAATTGGGAACTCTTGACCTGGCTCCCGTTAAGCATACACACAGCCAGTGGCACTTTTGCTTTTTCTACCTGTGTGCTCGGTGTTTACACGCGTTGTTGCTACAACAGCCACACCTGACACTGTGATCCTTGAAGATGGTGCCTATTTCTACAAATATAGAAGCATCAGTCAGACTGACTCTCAAGGCGATTGTGAAAGATTTCTATTTACACTTGCCTGAAGTCCTTTGACAATTCCCTCATACAAGTAGCACTTACTCTAGGAAAATTGTTATAAGTATATCCCTTAGGGTGTATGTTATACCCCATATTGCTCTAGACTTCCTCTTGTGAATTCCCATTTCGTTCTGAATTTCCGGATTGTGTTTGGACACTGGATGTGTCCTATACAAAACCGATCGCCTTAAAATTAATTAGAGTAGGCCGGATTATCAATTTCAATTCCCAGCGCAGAGAATAATTTTACCTTTCCGACCAGCAGGTACCTTTGGGGAATTTTGCGCTTCGTGTTCCCATCATGCAACTTCGAAATGGATCACAATGGTCCATTAATGGCTGTTCGTTCCAAACTGCCGGGATTCTACATCCTAATCCGGAACATGAACATAATGTCCGACGGGATGAATCATGCCAATCGGCAGAACGGAAATTTAGCTCAATCCATCATACAGCAATGCACCCTTGGCCGAGTCACACTCGATTTACGCATCACCGGTATCTCAACAGATCCATTTAACCCCCCCCCCCCCCTGATGATGCTGATGTGTAGATCAGGTAGGTTAATCAATAACGCAATACAGTGTGGCGGAGTGAGGAAGTTCACCCTGTCCACAATGTCGAGTACTGTTGAGATCAGGGCTGGGCCTATATTCTTTTACCGGGCAGTACGGCTATGGGGTATGGGCTTGAAGTTGAAAAATCACAATGGTTTCTGTTGGTGTTGCTTTCCACAAGCCTTGCACTCTTGTTGTTTGGACACATGTGATTGAATGCAGATATTTAAGGACAACTATGCCACGAAAGAGATGGGAGATCTGCGCGTGCTTTGCTCAAGCAAGCGCTATACCAAAACTGATCAGGACTGGTGTCAATGGCGGGGTGTCCTGCGGGATTTTGAGGTAAAGAAAGACTTGAGTGATTCCAGAAGCATCTAGAAGCATTACAAGGAATTGGACCATGTCGATTTAGGGTCGGAGAATATGTGGGATGGCTATATGGGTGCCTTCAGGCTCACATATTTGTTAGCAAATTCTGCAAGCAGAAACTTGCTTGCTTTGCCCAGGGTGGCAAATAATGTGGTATTGTCATGAAACCATTCTACAAGTTCTGACCCAACTTGCTGACTGCATAGTATGTGTGTTATTATTTTTATACCTCTGGGTGTCCGCGTCTGCGCATGCGGCAGTGAGAGAAAGCTGGTGCCCCATGACTCACACTTCTTTTTCTTAAAATACATGTGCAGGAACATGAAAAGGACTGTGAATACGTGCGAGTGGCCTGCACGGAATGCGGCGAGCCCGTCAGCCGACAATCACTCGTCCCACATAAAATGCAATCCTGCCCGTATCGGCAAGCCAGGTGCAGCCACTGCAATGCCGATATGATATGGAAGGAGTTAAAGGTAGGTGTGCAGGTGATTGTGTGCTGTTTACACCAGGGCCTTGCCGTACTCTGTGTATTTTCTTGCTCCCAACAGATGATCAAATCATACAGTATTATCAGGGAAGCACTTACACAACATACGAGCATGGAGCATCAAATGTTCAATTTTAGATCTTGTCATCAGCCAGCATACCCTTGGGTGTGTTGTTTCAATAGCTTCAGTCCACTGCGTGAATGCAATCATGTATTTTGTCGTGTCACGCAAAATTACGCATCTATAAGCGACATCCACAGAACCTGCTGGGAGAGTACGGTACTCGTGCGGTTAGGCACTATTTTTTCAATGTCCATCACAGATGGGGTACTATTCAAGAGAGAGCACTATTCAAGAGAGGGCACTGTTTTTTTTAATGCTGGTGTATTTGCGTCATCCAGCATAAAACAAAGAAAAATGGTGCTTGAAGTTTGCTGTAAACTATCACGACTCAACAGGAACAGCGATCTTGATCCTGAAACCACCAGTGCAATGACAAGGACAAGAACATTAGCAAAAGAACATCAAACTTGCACATGCACTTGGTTACAAGCCGGGGGGGGGGGGGGGCACTATTCAAGAGAGGGCACTAGTCACGCGAGTATGGTACTTGTGTACTCGAATCTCATCCTTGGCACGTTTTTTTTTCTTCTCATTTTTCACTGGTTCTGCTCTTGTACAGCCGCATCAGGAGAATACCTGTGAAGAGATCCTAGTGCCTTGTCCCAACAACTGCACTGCCCAGCCCTTTGCCAGGAAGTCGGTAAGAGGCTGCACACAATCATGCTATAGCCTTTACCTGAGCACACAAACACTATTCGAACACCATGCAAGTCCCGCTGATTGATCTGGCCTGTGTTACTGTTTCGAAAATAAATTTGATGTAGCGTATTTCCCCGAATGCAAGCTGCACATTTTTGCACTTAACTACAAGGGCAAAGAAGGAGGCACAACTTACAATCGAGTGTAACTTCTTACTTATATGAGTTTAGTGAGACAATTTGGCTGGGATGTGAAAGTGAGTTGCAACTTATTTAATCAAGGCGACTTATAATCAGGGAGATACTGTGTGCACTCCAGTACCGACCAGTGAAATTCATTTCTTTACGTGGCAATATTCTACAAAGTAGCAAGTTGTGCTAGGCTCCTATTCAGGAGAGGAAGGGTTGTTGTCACGTGGTTGATATAAGCAGAGAGATGACGGCACATTCTAGTTTAGCAAGTTGTCTACAAGTACAATTTGTTGACGTTTCACTCAAGGCGTATTCTGACACGTCTGTTTGTATCTCTTCCATTTCTGGTTGTAGCTTGAGGCTCATCTCAAAACCTGCCCGCTGCAGGTCGTCAACTGTTACTACAATGCTAGCGGCTGCGAATTCAAGGTAACCCCGCAATGGTCTTTGCCGCAGTTGTAATAGCAAGCAGCAAGTTGACTTCCTTTGTGTTAAGAACTTAAGGTCACCATGCATTGCAGCACATCACGGCTGTTTAAACGATTCATTGTGCTTGTTCAGCTTATTTTTGCCTGTATTCCACCTGACGAGAAGGCAATGAAAGTACCAGTGGAACAGCTTCCAGGTTGTTGGTTATTCTGAGCCTGAAGCTTGTTCTTTTCTGGAGTGTTTCGGGTTGAAACTGGAGAAGAATTTTTCATCCAGCGCATGCGCGAAGAGTGGATTGCAACTGAATAGAGCGGTTGTCAGTTGACAAACCCCCTCTTTATTTACAATGCAGTTGCGTGATGTCCACCACTTTCTGAATAAAGTTTTGGACTCGTTTTACTCCCATTGTTCCAAAGCAGAGTGTGATTGTGCAGCTTCAATGGCATCAAGCACTATATTGGCAGAGGTTTCAGTATTTCCACACTTTCATGCAACACCTACTGGTTCTTCTATACTCAGGGTCCGAGGAAGGATCTACGCGTTCACCACGATAGCAGCCTGCAATATCACCTTCAGCTCGTCGAGCGCACTGCCTCGGAAGCCAAGGTGTGTATGACATGAATTGGAATATCGCATGGCATGTGTACAACCACATTCACATTGATCCCAAACACCACAATTTCCAAACATGACCATTGGGGAATTTTATGCAGCTGACAAATCACTCAGTCAATCATAAGCACTACAGTTTCCAATCCTTACCCTCGGCAGATTTTGAGCAGCTGACGGATTGCTCAGCCAGTAAAAAACACCATGGATTCCAACCCTTATTACCCTTGGCAGATTTTGAGCAGCTGACGAATTGCTCGGCCAGTCATAAACACCTGGCCTTTGGCTCATTTTAAGCAACTCACATATTGCTCAGCCAGTCATGTTGTGCCATTTTCTCCGTCTGTTGTCTGTTTCAGGCACAGGCGTCCACTACTAGTCAATCTTCCTCTACCAGCAGCAAGATAGGCAAGCTTGAGCGTTCCGTGACGCAGCTGACAACGGTCAACAACCAGCAGGAAGACCTGCTCGCTACCCAGGCGCACAAGATTACGACACAGGAGGCACAGCTCGCCGACATGCAAAGCATGATGGAAGCCATGCAGGCCTCGCTCGCCCAGCTCGCCCGCAGGTGCGAGCGCCTTGAGGAAAACAGTGACCAGCGTCCGGCCCCGTCCAGTGGCAGCCACAAGGCATCATCCGCTACCATTCTGCAGCGTGTCGAGGAGAATACTAGCCATCTCACACGACTGGACAGGTACAGTTCTGTTACAGTGCAGTTATACCCTTCAATACATTCTGTTGAAAGACATGTACCTGTACAGCACTACGTTCATATTCGTTTGCCTTCGAGAATCGACCCTGGTCAAGCACAGAGCCTGGAGCAGAGGAAAGGAAACCGAGGGAGATCAAATAGGATTTAATCCAACGTTTCCATCCGTTCCAATAACGTGCATCATCAGCTAGGCAAAAAAGCATAGCGTAGGGCCCTGAGCTTTCAAGCTCTCTCGTCCATGCTTGAGAAGCAGTCTGGAAATCAGGCTGTAGAAAATATTTCAAGGATAATCATGGTCAGTTACAAGACACGCGTACTGTAAAACATGCAATTTCAGGTAGACGTAAGTTCGATACCAGGGACCATACTATTCCTGTATGCGTGGTATGGGCGCACGAGTCTTGTGCATAGAAGGCGTCGCTGCCCCGACCACCTAAGTTGGAGCAACTCGCTAGCCGAGGTGGCTTCTTCCTAGGAGTGATATTTGACCTTGCCATCATGAGAGTTCAACAGAAAATGAAATTGAACGAACTTTGAAGTCGATTTCAATACCGCGTAGATTAGCGCACATTGCAGTGAGAGCGTACATTGCGGTGGCGTGGAGGAAGTAGATGCATGTGAGTATTTCGCTCCTGCTCTTATCGCAGTGGATCACTCTCGTGTGGGGTAGTGCCTTTACCGTTTGCGCTATGCAGAGCTCACTGACTTGTCAGCTTGAGCACTCTGGCAAGGTACTATCGGGCCTGGTTTAAATCTGGCTTGGGAAATTTTATTTTTCATTACTATCAGGTTCGGCCTCATTTTCTCTATGCTGCGCTGACGGGTCCAGAAAGGACGAAACAGTTCTGTCCGCAGATTGAGTATGACCATACTTATACCTCATCTAAGACTTCTCCTGGTGAGAAAACAAGTTGTTGAGGTGCTTCAGACAAGAACAAGTATGTGAAGTACTACTTTGAAGTACTACTAATACTATGTTCACTGGTACTAGTAAGCATTAGTAAGTACACTCATGTTGATTTGGCATGCTGTACACAGCTGGTGACATGAGTGTCTCCTCTTACTAGACAGCTGCTTAGCCAGTGAGGGCTGACAGCTATGCTGTCAGCCATGCTGTCAGCCATGGCTGGCACAATATGTGCGCACATGCATGCACTGCTGTTTCACAGCTGCACTTCACATGACGCATGACCATTAATTTTTATAGATTTTTTCTAGTGAATTTGTCCTGATGTGCAAGTTTCTTTCGCTCCTTGGTATTCCCTGTGTAAAGGACGACTGCACTCCACGGCCTGCAGCTCTCTGACCAGTCGATGCGCCAGGACATTCTCGAAGTGCGTCGCCAGGACGGGGTCATGCTCTGGAAGATCAGCGACCTGGAGCGGCGCAAGCAGGAGGCGGTCAGCGGCAAAACGCCGTCGCTGTACTCGCCCCCGTTCTACTCCAGTCCGTGCGGCTACAAGATGTGCCTGCGTGTTTACCTGAACGGCGATGGGACCGGGCACGAAACGCACGTCTCGCTCTTCTTCGCCGTGATGCGAGGCGATTTCGACGGCCTGCTCCGTTGGCCGTTCCAGCAGAAGGTCACGCTCATGCTGCTCTCGCAGAACTCGTTAGCGGCGGACGCCAGCTCGTCTCACATCGTCGAGACGTTCAAGCCGGACATGAACAGCTCCTCGTTCTATCGTCCTGACTCAGACATGAACGTGGCTACAGGATGTCCTCAGTTTGCGCCGCTCTCCGCCATCCAAGTCGGCAGCAGATTCGTCAAGGAGAACAACATCTTCATCAAAGTCAGCGTCGACAAGAATCACCTGAACGCGCCGGATGAACCACACAAAACCACCAGAGGAGTTGGCTGAGGAATGCACTTTTGGAAACAAATCTCGGCAGGATTAGTCCGAGTTCACTAGGAGGATCGGCATGGATCACCATGTGCATGGTCTTCCCGTACTTCAAGCGCAACTGTTTATCAAGTGGCATATCAGTCATGTGCTTTCCAACGGCAAGTCACGTTGAATGTTCTCCATGGCTGCCTGGTGCAATACAGCTACCCATATCTACGGCTATGAATCTGGAGGGACCCCTATCTCGTAGGTATCTACGGCTATGGATCTGGAGAGAGAGCACTGGGCAATGGCCCCTGCCGCCGCTCCCAGCTACCAGGTGATTCCAATCCAGTCAGTGTGCGCTGAATGGAGGTGCACGTCTCTCACGTGCAGTGCAAAGCAGTGTTTCCGGGCCACTGGCTTGGTGGCGTATTGTGGCTGCTCCACTGCACTATCTAGCGATGGTAGAAACCACTGCAGTGGACATGTCTGGAGTGGTTAGTTTGGTCTTGACAGGGTGCTTTGTGTGCACTGTGTGAGTGAAAGAGCAAGGGAGAGAGAGTGTGTGTGTGTGTGTTTGAGAGAGAAAGCAAGGGAGAGAGAGAGAGAGAGAGAGAGAGAGAGAGAGAGAGAGAGAGAGAGAGAGAGAGAGAGAGAGAGAGAGAGAGAGAGAGAAAGAGAGAGAGCCTCTAAGAGCCTCTGAGAGGGAATGTGTGTGTGATAAAGAGAGAATGAAGACAGAGAGATAAAAAGTGTGTGGGTGGGTGTTTGAATTTAGCCATGTTTGAGAAGTTGTACCAAAAGGAAGAGATGTTTAGTGAGTGCCATTGTTCCTCTATTTCCTCCTATGCCTGTACACAATGCATGCTGAAATGTTGTAAATACTTATCTTTACCTTGTTTGACGCCTCTCGATTTGAGTTGGATGCCGATTTTGATTCGTTTTATTCCAGTTGGCCTTGATGAATGAGAATCCTGATTCTTGATCTTGATACGTTTTTGAACCCTTACTTAAATGCAGCCATCTATCTGGTCTCCAGACTTCATGAATATTCTGGCCTATTGAATATGCCATTTTGTGCATTGGTTATTTTTCATTTCCTTAACCACTCAATACGCCAACTATATTCCCGATTATTCTGGCTGCTTTGTATTTTGAAGTAGAGGTTATCAGACATTTGCGGAATAGCTTCATTCTAAGCGGTGGCTGGTGGTTATCCATTAGACTATCTGTTCAAGGTTTTCAGTGGACGGAGCGGCTCAGCCTCGACGCTGCGCTGAGAAATATGCTTGAGGCAATGGATGGCGTCCTTCCTGTACCGCATGCCCGGTTTTCACACGGAATGATCAACTGCGATGTTTCCGTCTTAGGTCTATCATCAATGATGGAATCTAGTGTGTGTAATGATGGCATGATCATCCACCCAACACAGGCGTATTGTATATCAGAGGCACTGTGGCCATGATCTCCATAATATGGCTCTGCTGCACATGGTCACTCTACACGTGTTTGCGTTCCAACAGAATACCACCATGAGTCTGTGCCGTAGTGTTGACAATTGGCGATACTGTATTGTATTGGCGTCAGTGCATGCGTAATTATTTGACCTGGCTGCCAACCTAGCTTCTACAATGACACTGTGTTGCATGCAGTGATTTTCAGTGCCGTCGATCACCTAGAATCCGCACCTACTTGTACGTAACACATTATGATGTGGACGTTATGCGGTCCTCTTTCCCAGCTTTCTCAAGTATACACATCCTGCACGTGCAATGCAGTCCGATCTCTTAACAAAAGCAGTTCGGACATCTGCATGATTGTACTCAGTATTACTGTACGCTCCCTCGCCCTTGCCCACTGGCCTTGGCTTGGCTGGGCACTCATTTTTGTTAGCCTCAATGCTCAATGCCCTGGTGCAGAGCTCACTGTGCTTCTCACAGTTGGAGGGCTCTATCTCACTTGCGCTGAGTGATAAAGAGCATTCTACGTGTACAAGATCTGACCTGCCACAACATGGAGATGCTGTACGGAGACGGACTTCATGTAGATTTTCAATCATGTTCGATACTCCTGCGCAATGTCATGGAAACTACATCAAAGTCCACTTCACACTCGGCAACGTGTGTGACGATGTGGGCAAGACATGGCTTAGGCCATGGGCGGCCAGTGCGAGATACATATACAATGTATTTCGCGCCGCTCACGAATACGCATCCGGGATTGATGAGGATCACAAATTCCCGTAGGTCACGTGATTTTCCCCTTGGAGGCGACCAATGACAGATGAAACTGCGCGGGCTGGAAAGCGCGGCCCTGCCTGCTCAAAGGTGGAGGAGCTGGATCCACTGCCCGTCGTCAAGTGACGCAGTGACGACGGGCAGGAACGGAATCCACTGCGTTCATTGGCTCACGAACTTACTTGGCTTGGGTGCACACGGGAAACACGTTCCAGTCACTTATACTCGGCCAGTACCGCGGTACTGCCCTCGTACTCGTGCAGGAACCTGTACATACGCTACCGCAAGCAGGGCATTCACATTCAGGGAATGTCCGGACTTACAACGTCCATTTGCGGTATGATTAACAACTCAAACACTGACCTGAGTAGCAGTACCTGCAGTCCTTGGAGACGGTCTGTACTCGGCTTCAAGGCCCCAGTCTCCATTTTCAGCCAGTCTTCATACTAGCACGTGTCATTGTCGTTTCGTAACCGTTACCCAAACCAATACTACAACTGGAAGGGTGGCAAGGGGGTGCCAGATAAAATCCAACCCATACAACGTGTGAAGCTAACATACAAGGGTGGATTTTCACCTGGCTCCACTGCACCCTGAGGCTGCTGGGAGTCATGCTCGACCCTACTCTCTCCTACAGAGCGCACACTCGCAGTGTTGCACTGCACGCCTCCCAAAGGCTGGGTTTCCTACGAAAGGCAGCACCCATCCTGGATGACCATGGTCGAGTGGCAGTCTACAAGGGATTCGTGCGACCCCTACTTGAATATGCCCCACTGCCCTGTTCGAGCGAAGCCGCAACTAACATGGCCCAGCTGGATAAGGTTCAGCAACGTGCCCTGCATTTCCTGGGACCTGGAACCATCCTCCAAAGTCTTCAGCTTCGCCGGATGGTGGCAGCCCTATCATACTTGTACAAGCTGCACTACATTCCAGGGCCTCCCCAGGTAAAGGCCATGCTGCCACCAACCAAGCCCCCTGCCGTAGCTAGTACATGTATGTGCACACGGCAAAAACGTCAGACGCACCATCGCTTCCAGCTGAAGTGGACACCCCCTCACACAGCCCTGACTACCTCCTGCGATCCTTCCCCTTCTTCGCCATCACACCCTGGAACAACCTGCCTGCGGACCTCCTGCTTCACGAACCTCATTCAAGACGCCTCCAAACCTTCAAGGTCAACGTATGTAAGGATCTAATCCGAAAGAGATGGCTGTGGTCCACACAGTACCTGTGACGATGATTTTGAGACCCATTTAGTATTTACCTTTCTACTAGTACTTGCTTGTGATGATTATTGTTTTCTTTTTTCTTTTTCCCTTCTGGTTTAGTTATTACACGTATTTATATTATTTGGTGCAATACTAGCGCCCCTTTCTCGCACCAAAATTAATTATTATTTTTCCTACTTTACCATGCAACCCCCCCCCCCCTTTTCGATGCCAGGTTGCAACGCTAACGCCGAGACTCCTGGTGCATGGTCGGTCGAGTTGCTCCCTGTACTTCGCGTAACATCGGCACGTCGTCCCTACATACCCTGTGTCTTGTTTTGTGTTTGTCTCCACATGTCTCTTTTTAGGGCTGTGTTCCCAATAAAAATAAATAAAAAAGACTGACCAGTTTGGTTGGTTTGGTTTGGTTGTTATTATTTCAGGTCGTTGCCTCAACAGTACAAAGTACAAATATCAAGAGGGACGAACGAAAAGAGACAATAAAACAGAGCAGAGAGGAAGATGCAACTGAAAGGAAAGAAAAAGGAGAGAAACGGAGAAGGAATGTCGACTGGGCGGATTCATGTGCAGTAGGCCTGTATGGCTAGCACCATTGCAAGTGTGACATGGTGGCTCTGACTGCGTGCCGGATCAAGGTCAACGCTATATCAGTTCCTTCTACTTCAGTACAATCAAATTCATTAATTATTTTGTCTGTTGCAGCGGATCTATTCTTCTTTCAGTGAAGTTCTGAGGTTATATTGCTTGGCATGACGTGTACCTCAACCAGAATGAGAGAGGCTATTGTACCGGGAGTGTCGTACTCTCTGTGCATCCTCCTCCCAATGTTTGGATGGATCCGCTGCCCTGTAGACTATTGCATGTATCAGCATACGGAGAGTACTCGTTGGGTAGTTCACCTGGAGACGGGTATAGCCAGTTGCTTGGGTCCTGGTGCAGAGTTCTGCAGTCTTCTGCGGAACCCAACACAGGGAGGTACATCGGAAGGTGCGCCATGCGTACTGCCCGAAATCCAGTCGGACCGTCTGAGTGACGGAGGTACTAGGTGTGTCTTTCACCGTGCCCCTCAGCCTCAAACTTCGAACCCGTTTGGTGTAGTACACACATGCAGTCGGTGCCTTTGCTGTCCAAATTCCAGGTTTCTCTCGATGAACAGAGGTTTCATGTCCTGTTAGATAGGTGACCTCTAAAGTCGTTCTGCGCGTCCCGTCAGCGCTCATCGGGAGCCGTAGAACGAGGAGTGCTGAGTGGCATTTACGAGTTTTGTGATGAAATCAACTCGACCGAGGCTTCCGATCGCCGAGCTCAAGTCACCTAAGTCCTTGAAGTAGGTACGGTACACCACTGGCAACTGTACTTGGTTACTCGGATGGTGATTAGAGAAGAGTGCCGGCATGCCAAGACCGCTGGACTTCTCCAATAATCCTATTATAGGCATTCTCCCAGCCAGAAACGGCACATTTTATCTACACTCAATCTGTGGACAGAACTGTTTCGTCCTTTGGGGACTCATCAGCGCAGCACAGAGGAAATGAGGCCGAACCTGATACATGTAGCAATGAAAACTAAATTTTCCAAAGCCAGATTGAAACCAGGCCCGAACGTACCATAATAATTATTATGTATAATTATGCCTGGTATTGTAACCCTTCTCAGCATTGTGTTCAACGCGTTCCAAATCCCGGCATGCCACACAAGTAGATCGGTCCTCTTCCCGTTGTTTGGTGGACATGACCGCCTCGCTGCTGGATTTTCATCCTCCTATAACTATACAGTTCAAATTAAACTCCAATGTTCACCTTTGCCAATCGTTGGGATATTCATGCATGATTCAGTAGCGATCCATATATATTTGTGCTTCAGCTATCACCCGTATCTCCAGTGGTGAGCGTGGTGCCAATATGGCGTACATTCTGGAACTTCCAGTGGATTTTTCTTGGCAACGTGACTTGGTCATACTCATTCCGGCTATGCCCCCAGGCAGAAGTCAATATCTTCCCGCTGTATAATGCGATCAGCGTGAGCGCATTTCAGGATTCGGCTACATCAGAGTGGGTCTGGTAGAGTGTTGCAAAAAGCAGTGTTCAGACCCGTTTGTTCGGATCCTTACCAAGTGTCAATGTGAGCCCAGCTGTCGGGAAAGCCAGTGTGCGTGGGGACATACTGAAGACACAACGCCGGCCACCAGCGGCCCAAATCTCACCCATGCCCCGCCTCAGGGCCGCCTGGAGTTGGGCTAGCACTTCCGGGGACCGTCCTGACCGGATGGCCTACCCTCGACTGTGCAAGAGGCTTTTCACCCTCGAACGTGCCACCCACCTCACGGTAGAGTGTAGTTCAACAAGCCTGCCGTGTGAAACACCTACAGGCTACACTCTACAGTGCTGGCAACTGAAATCCGACCCCCTGAGCGGTGGGTTCACACTCTTTGCGATGTGTGAGCGCACCGCTCAGGGGGTCGGATTTCAGTTGCCAGCACTGTACATTGTACTGAATCAAGCTACGTGTACATGTACGCCGAGCGTTGTCGCATTTTTCAAGACTGATGCTCACGTGCACATGTGTATAATTATTATGATATAGAGCCAATGTATAATTATTATAATATAGAGCCAATGAAGTGTAAACACACACGAGCACAAGTGCAACGGGTTTGGATCATCGATCAGTATTGTTTTGTGTTTTGTCTTATATTAGGCTTGCGAATTTAGATGGTATGGAGGCAACAACGTTGTGAATGGCCAACGGTCCTCAGCGCTTGTTCAGCACCTCCATGAGCGACACTGACTCAAGCTGCTATCTGGTGTTCACGAGGTGTTTGTCGCGCTGGAAACGGAGCGTCTCTGTAAGTTTACATCCCAGGCGATGTTTGTGCCTGAAGAGCACTATAAGTGGTGCTCTTCAGGCACAATATTCCTCGGCCAAGCTCAACTGATGCGGGGTGAATTCCCCTCGACACTGTGTATTGACCAGGGAGTGGTGCTTTCTTGCAGGTTTTGCCGAGTGGACGGTTCCATGGACTTCTGGTGTGCTGTGGATGGCAGTCGTGAGTCAGTCAAGTGAGAGTTCAAGCCGGCAGGAATAGTCCAAGCTCCCACACAATTCCAAAGTATCGCCGAAGTCGCACCAACTTCTTCTACTTCCGGTATATAATTATTACTTGTACTACTTCAGTATTATTTTACTTGGGCATTCCCAACATACCCTAAGGCCTTCTTACAGGGTGCCCAATGTATACCTGTATGAATGTGTAAAATTCCTCGAGAAATCAGTAAAGTCAGACTACAATGTACAGAAAGTTGTGACTAGATTGTAAGATGATGAAGAAGGAACGGCCAGAGTCTTTTATAAAGGCTGAAGGCAGGCTTGCTAGTCTACGTTCTGTATTCTATACATATGTTCTAGGTGGAGTACAATAGAGAATGTGATAGAGGTTACTGGGGTATGCGAGATCCACTTGTACATCGGCGGCCCGTGCATTACACCCTGATCTTTCTATTGCAATGTTGGTAGTCCCCTTTATTCGCCGCTCTCTCTAGACTCTCTCTCTCTCTCTCTGGTCAAATGCAAAACTCCTTCACTTCACGTGAATAGACAGATGTTACTATCCCAGTATATTCCCACACAATTGCTTGGGGAAATATTATTGACAGTGACGAAATGGGTTTGCGCTGTTCTTTTTGCCACCAGGACACTAGTAGTACTAGTAGTATCAAGGCTCCATCAACACCACGACTCGAACCAGGGACCCTCGCTTATGGTATGCATAAACATAAACAATATACAAGTAATTCACCTTTCGCGTGAGACTGAATTTTCCGCATCCGAAGGAACTCATCACCTTCAACGATCAGACCCACCGCCAAAGTGGTCAAAGACCCACACATTGAGTACGCAGATCCTCAAAACCTTACTTGAGCTTGTTGACGTAAGGCCAAAGACATGGCCTTCGAGTTCGAGGATAAAGAAGCCTCTTCAAGATGTACTTATCATGAAACACTGTGCAGTCATTAACTCTATCAATAAAATTCTTGCATGTCATGATCAAGTAACACAGTTCATTGGCCTTTTGAAGACAATGCGAGTGTGTGAACACTTCGCATAGAGATGTGGCCCGCAAGCCAGTCGGACGTCCAGAGTCGCGGCAATGTAATTTCGTAAAGCGTGAGCACAGGTCATGACTCGCGGTCACTGTCCTGAGTACTTCTCTGGTCTCTGCCACTCTGGTTCCAGTTGCAATCGTCCATGCCTCATTGCTGTAGCTCTGCTCTCGCTCTAGCTCTGTTCACAACAACTGGCTCCAGAGCTGAAACATACCAGCGACACACACACCCAGTCAGTGCTAATTGCTACGCTCTCCATCTACACCAGCAATACACACAATGCCAATGGTGTGGGCTCAGCACGTTATACATAAGCATGCTTCTCGCAAGCAACTGACGTTCTTCAAATGATTACACCGAACTAATGGGGTATTTCAGCCGGCACTAAATTTTCTGAGGTCCAGTTACTGGTAGCTCAGACGAAAAACCTCAGCAAGAATGAGGGGCTATTGGGCCGTGGCCTTTCCCTTGCTGTGCAGCCTCCTCGTCTCTACCAGTTACGCCTATTTGACTTTGCAACGGATTCCCAATGCAGCCGAGCAGGGTGCACGATGTTTGGATGGATCCGATGCCGTGTACTACATGTATCGGAATACGGAGAGTACTCGTTGGGTAGTTCATCTGGAGACGGGTATAGCCAGTTGCTTGGGTCCTGGTGCAGAGTTCTGCAGTCTACTGCGGAACCCAACACAGGGAGGTACATCGGAAGGTGCGCCATGCGTCCTGCCCGAAATCCAGTCGGACCGGCTCAGTGACGTGGGTGTGCTCGTGTCCTCCGACAATACTCGCAATCCAGAATTCTTCCGCGATAATCGTGTGTTCATCCCGCATTGCTCCGCAGATAACTTCGTTGGTCGAAACCTGAACGGAAGCCTGTACGGAGGTGGTCTGTATTTTGGCGGTTTCAACATCGTCAGAGCTGTTGTCGAAGACTTACTGAACAATCAGGGTTTGTATAGTGCCAGCGAGGTGTTGTTTGGAGGTGCAGGCATGGGTGTTGTGGCTCATACAGATTGGTTGCGAGGTAGACTCCCGAATTCAGTTTTTCTGGCTGTCTATACTGATGGACTTGGAATTCCTACTTTCCCGACGTTCACTGATCTCCAACCAATGATCAATGAAAGTATTAGCAGAGGAGATCAAGCTGAATTCATCAACAACTTCACAGTGCCAACCGATTTGCAAAACTTCAACGGGATTTACTCCCTTTACGCCACATTGTCCGCCCTGAACCCATACATACCCGAGAGATGTGCCAATGATGACAACTTCACGTTTTCTGGATTGGAATGCTACGATGTCCCGACTGGAATTCGTCTAGGGTTGGCTTCAAATATTCCTGTGTTCATGTTTGCCTCGGTATGGGATACATCCGTATTGGCGTCATACCTTGGCTTACAGCGGTACACGTGTGCATCTGAAACTGGACTGCTAAGTGAAGAGGAGAGAGTGTATGTGACCATTTTAGGATTGAACAATTATAATCGACTTCAGCAAACCTATGAGCAACGTGGAAGCCAAATAATCAGCATTCTTGCTGCCAACTGCTTCACCTACTCGTTCCTGGAGGACGAGCTGCTATGTTCTCGGACTGGTGGAAGATCTCCATACGAAGCACTGCAGCTGTTCCTCGCCGCAGCCCAAATCAGTGGTGAGAGTTTGACTGTACTTGGTATAACTAACCCAGCCACTTTGACATGTTCAGAGTATTGTGGAGCTAGTCAATGTTCGTGGGGTGGTAATATGACGAGACCCGCAGACACGCCGAGCAGCTGTGGCAGTAGATTGGACGGCTTTGGTCGTTTCCGGACTGGCATGGCCTGCCCCGGTCAGGTCCTGCCCGCATTCGCCCAGGCGAGCGTCCCGGCTAGTACCATCACACTGTTTCGGACGGTAAACGCCACTGCCCGCAACGCAGTATGCCTGGATGGCTCGCCAGCCGGATACTATGTTCATCGCAATCTGGCCAGCCCTAACTGGATTATCCACGTCCAGGGTGGGGGATTCTGCAGCAGCTTTCAAGAGTGTCAGGCACAGTTGGGCAATGGCTTTGGAACATCCAGTGTCTGGGCATGCTCACTCCCGGGCAATGATCGTGATGGACGATACGCACCCCTCGCAGATACTGTCAGTCCGTTTCCTCGCTTCAACCCCGAGTTCAGTGGCTGGAATCGTGTGTATATTCGCTACTGCACGCAAGACTTCCACCTTGGTCAGCAGCCTCAGGCCTCGAACCCGTTCGGTGTGAACACAGTCGGCGCGTATGGCTTGCAGGCTGCCCTCTACGATCTACAGGACTTTCACGGTCTGTTGGACGGTAACGTCATCATTCTGGGTGGAACGTCAGCAGGTGCCGTGGGCGTGCATAGCCGCATTGACGAGTTCCGCGATCGCATCAACTCGATCCGAGCTCAAGTTGGAAGAGCGCCGGCAACTGTTCTCGGCTACTCAGATGGTGGCTGGTTCCGCAGAGCACCAAACCTGCTGGACTTTGCCAACAACCCCACAACGGCATTTTCAAACCCGGAGAATAGTACGCTCATCACCGGGTTACTGACCCTCTTCGCCGGAGTGTACAATGCCTATCATGTTCCTGCATGCCAGGCAAGCAGGTTCGCTGCGTTTCCACTGTTTGGCGGTCACGACTGTGTGAACGCCGAGTTCTTGTACCCATTCATACAGACACCCATGTTCACCATTGCTAATCACTGGGATCTGAGAGAGCTCGTGCCACGTATTGGGACCGAAAGATTTATCTGCGCTTCGGTTACTAACCGGATCTCCAGTCTGGAGCGAGCCTTTATCAATCAGTATGGTCTTTACACTGAGTCATTCACTGGAGTATTCACAACTGACTATGATGGGTTCTTTTTTCCAACATGTCTTGGTCATGCTCATTTTGAGTTCGCACCAGAACTCAATATTTTCCCGCCGTGTGACGCAATTAATGGAGTGAGTGCGTATTCGGCGATGACAGAGTGGGTCAGGTACAGGGTTGCAAACAGTAGTGTGCAGACCCGTTTGTTCGGATCTGTACCGAATGGTCTGCAATGCGATGCCAGCTGTCTGGCCACTCAGTGTGCGTGGGGCCGGACCGAGGACACGACGAACACCAGCTGCCCCAATCTCACCCCCGCCCAGCTTGAGTTCAACCAGTACTTCCAGGGGCAGCCCTGCCCGGACGGCCCTTCCTCGACCGTGCCTCCCACCCCGGTTACCACCCCTCCTGGAGTGCTACAGGCCTGCCCAGAAGTCGAAGCAGCGTTGAGCAATGCTGAGCGCTATCGTATTCTTCAGGACTGCTGGTCCCGCGTGTATTCAGAGTACTCGCGCACGTTTGAGAATTACATCAATAATCAATGTGGTTCGCAGTGAAACACTACTGCACATACCTTCCCTCTTTCAATGCGTTTCCTTTTTTTGTAAACTCTGAAAAACTCTTTCCATATATTTCTATGTAGTAGTCATGCTTAAACCAATGATCCCTCTTTTGGTCACAATGTACATGTGCATTTGAATAGCTCTGTCCTTTTTCAGCTGCCAACCTTTCATATTGCACTTACGTATCGATTTACGTGTAGCACATCACCCACCTGGAACGTTGCTCTTGGCGTGCGTGTTCCCTACGAGCATAGTTAGTTACTTGGGGGAACTCCACGAAAAAAATGAAAATTTGATATCCTGTAGAGTTTCGGGCGCTGAGTCGAATGATCTTGGTCCGAAGTCTCTACGAGAAAGCGTTCTTGAGATATTTCAATTTTAGCCACGCCCTCATACCAATGTATGTGTGACGTCATTGTGGCATGGTGCGAAAATACTGGGATTTTGAATCTCACTTTCTTCAGGACGAAAGTCACTTCAGAAAGTAGTTTGCCAAGTCGCTTGAGCCGCTGCGATGCCAAATTGTTGTGTTGTTGGTTGTGCCAGTATCATCCTCCTGGGGTTAGTTTTCTCAGATTCCCAAAGGAAGAGTTCTGTTTCCAAAAAACGTTTGGTACATGTACATGTATATCGCACGGTAATATGTTGCAAAGATGGGTGATATCCGTATTTTGCATCCATGGTGTACCGACATGGGTACAGTGGATCTCCGTTCATCACCTTCCATCTTTTTTTCTTTTTTCTTTTTTTTTCTGGAGCTCTTGTTCATAGAACGAGCATCAACAACTATTTACTAAGTATTACGACTGTAGACAAAATGCAGTGAATGAAAAACGTAAAAATTAATGTTTGGCACCTATGAAATCAGGGGATGGCCCACACCTGGTAAAAAATCAATGAGGAGCTAAATACACGTACGTTTCGATAATAATACTACTACACGGCATGGCATCACCTTCCATCTACCGTCTTTTTTGTCCTAAAATCTGTTCTACTCTACTTATCTCTTCCCCTCTGCACTTCCCCATGTTTTCTAGGAGACACCCGCGAGAAGCCATTTTCTTTTGGAGAGTCCTAAAGGACAAAATGTTACGAGTTATGACTAACTGCCCACCAACGTAACCAGATACTATACAGTCAGCGAGTTCGACAAAAGGAAATTTTGTCGCATTCGCTGACTGTGTAATGATCTGGTTACGTTGGTGAACAGTTAGTCATAACTCGTAACATTTTGTCCTTCTCCTATTTTACCATCCAAGTTCAATCCTTTAAAAATCCATTTTTTAACAACAACAACAACAACTGCCGGAAAGATATTCGCTCCCCACTCCGGGGCTTACACTTTCCGCCGATTTGTCACCAACAACCACCTTTCTACCAAACAGACAAAGAAGAACACAGCCTCAGGGAACAACTGCAAAACAGATATAATTTGTCTGGGCTCTCCCTGCAACTTCAATATAATTATATACAGTAGTGAAGATGATGATCACTGGGTGGGGACATCGCAGCTAACTCTACTTGCACGTTGCAGCGCATTTGCTCGCCTTTGGCACGAGACCTCACTGGGAACAGAATGAAGAGACATTAGCGACAAAATTCGGCTATGAAATAACCTGAAATCAGTCATTGCACCACTCCACGAAAAGGACAGAATGAACCAAGCAAGGTCCTGGGGACTCCTGGTTTTCATGGAACGATAATCAGCAGACAGCAAGAATAACTGGGTCTTTGAAGTTGTTGTTGTTGTATTCTTTTATTTCAATTCGCTCAGGGCACAGGCAATACTGCCGTCTCACCGGAGAGAGGATTTTCCGATTCCTACCAAAAACGAGAAGTCCATCTTTGAAGTCCATTTCTTTTCAAAACATTCACCACCACGGTAGTTCACTGCAACAAGGCAATCGTCTAAGTTTCTCCCTTGAGGCTTCATGAGAGAATATTGAGGGAATGTTGAAGAAAGTGTTTGAAGTCCATTCTCACAACAATAACAGTATAACACACACGTCTCTGCTGAGAACGCGCTGGCTCGGCGATGGCCAACACAATAGCGTAAAAATATTGTTATAACGCTATTGTTGGCCATCGCCGAACAGGTGTTACCTGTTTAATACTGTGTCTGAATATTATTCAATGTTGGAGACAGCAAACACGAACTAGTTCAGCCCAAGAGCTCTCGAGTGTATTGCTGCGTCATGTACAGGCATGAGCAAGATAGAACTGCCCTTATCCGGCCAGGTGAATTACAAAGATTCTGGAAATAAGTAAATAATTGGTAGTGGCAGAAGGCCGTGTACAGTATGTACCATGTACGTTGTACATGTATGTGATGATACCTGTGCACGTTTCCTGGGCGAATGCCACTTCAGAAAATCTGTGCCACGCAGTACAAGGTCATAACCTAAGGACCACATGCAGTCATGCAGTTGTGTTGCAACACTTTCAGTACAACCCCCCGCAGGTTGCTCTTGCCTCTTGGGGATGATGCTGAAAGAATAACCGGCACAAATTATGCATGTTTGGTGCTGACTATGGATGAAGAACAGGAGCAGAATTCGAGGAATTTCCAGCCACAAGTTTTGGAAGATGCTCGCATATTTTCTGCTTTTCGAGCTGAATCTGCCATTTTCGTATCGGCCAAGGCCTACATGCGCGCAGATCACTGACTCTGTACCGGGCCACGGACAGCACATAACCATCCCTAGTTTACATTACACTCGCACGTATTTACAACTGCATAGCAACTAGTGGCGATATCACTGCCAACTATTCTGTTGTGTTGTAAGCACATACTCGTACATTGTAATTGGATTCGGAAAACCATTTGAGCCCTCAGAACAAAAATCAAGCCTGGTTGGTAAAGTAACTCGGATTTCACCTCAGAATACCAGTACATCTAGTGTCTACTTCTATCAAAACAGGATGCTGTCTATTTTAAGCCCCCAGAGCAAAAATAAATTAATACACATGTGGTACTCAGTCCAAGTAATCAGACCATGCGAGATACCTTGCTGGACACGGTAGAGTGATAACCAAACCAATTGCTAGTATTATACCTACTATGCCTTGTGCAACGCTCACTGCTCTTCGAGCATTTCGAGCACTCTTGGCGGGGTTTGCAGGTCTTCAATACTTTATAAAAAAGCTTTGCTTCACGGAAACGTATATCATTGCGAAGAGCTGCGCTTCAGTCCTCTGAGCTGTGCTGAGGAGCTCTAACAGAGCGAAACAGTTGCTGTCCACAGATTTGAGTATTATGCTCCCTAGCAGTCAGCAATGTCGTTAGGCTGAGTACTCTTACCTTAGCGCGAACCCTTGCCGCTCGTCTTGTGCAACGCTCACTGCTCTTGGAGCATTTTCGAGCACTCTTGGCGGGGTTTGCAGCTCTTTATAAAAAATTAATGCTTTGCTTCACGGGAACGTATTTCATTGCGAAGAGCTGCGCTTCGGTCCTCTGAGCTGTGCTGAGGAGCTCTAACAGAGCGAAACAGTTGCTGTCCACAGATTTGAGTACCTATAATACATACAATGTGTCATGGCTTCTGTTCAGACTGTTGCGAAAGACTAGGCTGAATGGCAGGACACTTGAAGTGCGCTCGCTCAGAGTGAAGAGAGCAGCACGGTCCACTCAGAGAACAGTATGCTAGTATGCGGCAGGTATTCATCTGTTGAAGTGCTGATAGACCAAGATCAGGGTCAGCAAGGAGCAAACAATGTGTTGAAAGCGTACAAGACCAACACCTGATCTTGCGCAATTGCAGTTTCGTAATTTCCTCGCGAAAATACACAAGTATCTGCTTCAGGAAATATACTTGCGACGTTTTACCCAGGATACGAATTGAATAACGGGCTGATAATTTACCACTTGGAGGGAATCGGTTCACCAATATTTCACAACAGAATCACACCTGTTCGTCGCCGTACGTTCATACTAGCACAATACAGTACACTAGCCAACTCACCGCTTGAACCTTGCTATCAGCCAACCAATATTTTCTATAAAAGCCGAACATTCGCACAAACGGGTATCATAATATTCACCCCAGTGTCTGGAGATATGTGGATTTTGTAGAGAAAAAATAATATTATTTTAATCGTGGTGATCTACAAGGGCTGGTTCAGACTTAGTTCAAGTTAGGAATTAGAATGGCATTCTTCTTCGCGATACTGTGTTCCGTGTTTTGTTCCCTTCACATGGGGCCTGCGGCTGCCTTTCTATTGAGACAGCCCATCCAGAATGCCACTTCTCGCGGTGCCAGGTGTTTAGACGGATCCGCAGCCGTGTACTACATGTACCGGAACACGAACAGTACCCGCTGGGTGATTCACCTGGAAACGGGCACAGCCAGCTGCATTGGGCCCGGTGCGCCATTCTGCGGTCTCCTGCGCAATCCCAGCCGCGGCGGTACGTCGCAGGGCGCACCCTGTGTGCTGCCCGAAGCTAGCTCGGATCGTCTTCAGGATGTCGGTGCACCGGTGTCGTCCGACAGTGCTCGGAACCCTGAGTTCTACTTGGATAATCGTGTGTTCATCCCGCACTGCTCCGCCGATAACTTCATCGGTCGCAACATTGCCGGCACTGCGTATGGTGGTGGGATCTACTTCGGCGGTTTCCATGTAGTGCGGGCAGTGGTGGAAGACTTGCTGAGTAACGAAGGACTGGCCACGGCCACTGAGCTGCTGTTCGGTGGAGTGAGCATGGGCGTGCTGGCCCATGCTGACTGGGTTCATGACTTCCTACCTGACACCATCGCTCTGGCTGTGTACACGGATGGGCTCGGGCTGCCAGCCGTGCCCACATTCGCCGATCTGCAGCCAATGATCAGCGATAGTATTAGCCGCGGCGAGCAGGCCGACTTTGTGCTCAACTATGTGCTACCCGACCTGAGTACAAGCGCTGGAATAGCTTCGATCTACGGAACTCTGAACATCATGGACCCGTTTCCTATCTGCGAAAACTCCGGCATGACGTTCGGCGGCTTGGAGTGCTATGCCACTGCTACGGGAGTTCGCCTTGCAATAACGTCTGGTGTTCCCGTGTTCGTGTTTGCCTCCGTGTGGGACACTTCAGTGCTGGCCATCTACCTTGGCCTGGAGCGGTATACATGTGCCGCCGAAACGGGCCAGCTCAGCGAAGAGGAGAGAGTGTACCTGGCCATCCTGGGAAGGCGGAATTACGGCGGCCTCTTGCAAACGTTCAATCAGCGAGGT